CCTCATCCAGGCTACTGGAATAACCCAAAATGATGCATGAGACTTATCAGATGAATGACTTGTTTAGATATAAAAACATGAGTCTATACAAATTCTCACCTGCTCAGTAAGTAATATTGAGGTATTGCTGTACTTTTTACTGGTTTCAGATCCAAGAGTAACAAATCTTAAGAGAAAAAGAGTTAGTGAAATGCACCAAATTACAAGCTCCCAATTGTAGTGACAATCAAGGAAGATCTCATGCATGTGAAGCAGCTGAAAACGAAAGATAAAAAAAAAAAGAAAAATTTATTTCCAAGTAATAATTACACTACAACGTAAGAAAATAATTACATATCTTCCCAACTCCAAGATTTCCCAGTATTAAGTATATGGATTGTTTTTAGGCATAAAAGATTTTTGAATCATCGTTTAAAATCAATACTGTCAAAGAGATGAGGTTTGAGAAAAGGTACATTCTGAAGGGCTCAACTAGAAATTAGACACCTTTTTTATATCCCTAAAGCAACAAAAAAAAAAAATACTCTAAAACAATTTTGAAATTGTTTTCAAATTTGAAAAGACAGTATATGGGAGAAAAACCAAAATATACCCTCAAACATACCAAATAATATAGAAAATTTAATCCAAGCAGAGTAACTGCTGAATTAAATTTTTATTAAAATATTTACAGTTAGCTACAAGGAAAACACATTAGTGCTAACTAGATAAGAAAGTGAAAAAAAAAATTACAACCAGAAGCCATGCAGAAGCTTCCCTGTATTCAGAAACAAAAGCTCAAGGAAAAATCTTAATCAGTAAAAACTTTCTTTGAAGATAGACTTGCTTACTAAAAGATATTCCACTAGAGGGCAGGTTAATATAGCCAACAACCTTGTTTCTCACAAAAAAAAAAAAAAAAAAAAAATCATCAACCAAGGTCAATCTCAACTGTCTTTGTAAAACTGTGTTTTGATGCAAAATGTTAGGAAAAAACTTGTGTTCCAAAATTCATGATGGAAAATGAAAGAGATTAAAAAATAATAGTATAATGTTAGGAACTATGCCATCAGTAAGTTTCTTTTGCTCCTACAGAGCAATATGCTAAAGTAGATAAAATGAACAATACCAAACGGAGCTTTATCTTCTGAAAAGCTCTAACAGCTGTTACTGTTTTTTCATTGTGGTCTTAACTTGATAGCAATGACATGCAGAAAGCAGTCAGAATTATTTTCTAGAGTATTTAAGTCACGGCTGTTTCTATACAAGTAATACGTCCTCACCTGTGCACAGCAGATAAACACGACTGAGATAGTCAGCAGGAATGCAGATGACACTATTACGTCGACCGAGCGCTGAGGACCTCGGCGCTGGAAGGGAAGGACAAGCACGTGTGTGAGCGAGAACCCCCCGGCAGCACCGACACCCCCCACACCCAGCCACGCCCTCCCCGAACCGCCCTTGCAACCCGGCGAGCTCAGTCCCAAAGGGATCCTAACATCACTATGTTCCAACACCCCTAAGGCATGTCAGGCTAATTCAGATGCAAGCATTTAGACCTAACTAGGAGAGAAGAAAACATCCATCGCTTGTTCAGGTGGTTCTTCCATGATGCAAAGGGACGTTCATGTCGGCAGCGTCCCCTGACACAACAGGGATGATACGTCATCACTGATATAACATCAATATGGCACCAGGCTTTTGCACCAAGTATCCAACCAGTGCTTACAAAAGATTTTGGGACGTCAAATTGCAATAGGATATCAAGATATCACATGGTTGGTACTTTCCAATACTTGCCTCTTGTTGACATGCAAAAAATGTGGCTGTAAATCGCTGTCCCATTGTGGTAGGTACAACAATGTCACTGTCTCCCTCAGAACAAGAAGGAAAACTGGGGAGCGAACACATTTGTCTTGAAAGGTGTAACCTCATTGTTTTCAATTTTTTTTTCTTGCTTACTGGCACAATGAAATGTTTCTACCCACTGAGCTTCTTAATTTGTTTTAATTAAAGAATTAACCTGTGCTGCACTGAAATGTGTCCCTGCCCATGGCAGGGGAGCTGGAACTAGATGAATTTTAAGATCTCTTCCAACCCAAACCATTCTATGACTCTATGATTCTATGTACAACTTAGACATTTATTTCTCAACTTTGTTCTCCAGACATGCTACTTATTATGTGAACCTGATAAGAACAGGAGGCGTACACATGCAAGATATAACCTTGGAACTTGGAGAAAGAGACAGGAAGCTTAGCTACTGACAAAAAAAAAAAATTAGGTGCAAACTTGCAGGTATGCATGTGCTACTTCTATAGTGAGAGTGTTCTGCCTGTGCAAGACTTGAGATGTGTGCACAGCCCAGCTCACAGCTTCACAGGTGGACACATACAGACAGGAAATATGCAAGTGTATTTTGGACACTTTGCTAGTATATGGCAGCATCGCCACTACACGGCAGCACTGCTCCTCACCTGCTTGTCTCCATTCCTTTACCTTGTGCTAGCACATGTATTATACATCTGCCCAGTAAAGCAAGTAAAGCTCAGGAGGTAAAAATTACTGGGTTTGATTTTTCAGTTGGGTGAGTCCCCTACATACCTGCCTCTGACCACTGCCTGACTTTTTTCTGAGCCACATAATTATAGAAGTGTTTGTGGTGGCATAAGAAAAGATGGAATATATAGATGTAGTTGTGAAGAAAGAAGGAAAGATACTCTCTCCACAACAATGGTACCATTTGCAGGCTTTAAAGCATCAACTCTATATTCTATTGTCTAAGTGATGTCATCCTCCTTTCCTCCCACCCTGCAATACCTTACAGACCCCCAGGAAAAAGATACAAGTGTCTCAAATGTAAAGTTTAAAGGGTTCCTCTCTTTTACAACCTCCTCAACACAGACTTCCATAAGACAAGGGATGTTGTAAATTAATCACATCAATTCCTCTCAAAATGAACCATCTTTCAAATTTGAGATTGTACTTTATATAAAAAAATTTTGCCTTCTTATAGTTCCCACTTTCCACACTCCTCAGTCTCCACACCATAACTGCTTCATGTTCTCATAATCCTTTACCTGCTTCTCAAAAGTACTGATATTTAGATTTCATCTAACCTTTCCTAAATGAGGTTGGAAAGCAGCATAGATGCAAATAAGGGTATTACCACCACTAACAAGAGATTGTCAGTTGCTCTTCACCAAAAAACTGCTTCTGTTGAAACCAAACAGGGAAAACCCTTATTTCATCTGAGTTGAATTACCTAATGCAGAGAGAAAAATGGGAAAAAAAACTTGGGGCAGAGTGAGGGGGAACAAAATTCAGAAAATACCTCTGAGTTAATATGGATCCTTTCACACAGGACAGTCAAAAAGCTCTGGCTTGAAAAGAGCATTAGAGAAATAAAATGAGATTACTCAGCTTTGACCTGAACATGCAGTAGAGGGACTGGAAGGTCTCACAGATAATACTTGGGCATCCTTTCCAGCTTCACCCGGGACGCATAAACTCACAGTACGAGTATGCACATAAACTGCTGGTTCATATACAAAAACTATATTGCTAAATAAATTCCTTCTGTGTTAAGGACACTAACTGGTGGGGCTCTTAGAATAAGGTATTGTCTGCATTACGTTACAAGTGGTCAGTTTTACCCAACAGACTGACCTGAGAGACTTCTTCTGGTAGCATTAGTAAGAAGACTTCAACTGTGAACCTGTTTGTACTTTACTCCAAGATAAAAACTAGACTTTTCTACACTCTCAAAGTCTGGCTGCCTGCAGACACTGCTGTCCCAGAGTCACTGAAATGAAGCATGTAGGGCACGTGAGCACCAATAGGGGCAGGTGCACAGGAGGAAAAATTCAGACTAGGATAGTAACCTTCCATCAACAGCACATGAGATATTTTATATTAAACTGGTAGCAAAAGTATACGTTCTTTTACCTTTAGATAGGACCTGAGAGAAAGCCACATTTTTATATTCTGTACTTTCTTCAAGCGGAAGTGAGGAACCTCCGATTTTCTTGCTCTTCTGGCAGATGTTAAATGACCAAAAAGTTTGGCAAAAAGTAGCCTCTGCAGAGAAGAAAAATAAAGTTATTTTAAATGTTAATTGATTTGCAAGGGCACTAAAAGAAAATTGAGAAAGGGCTTCACTTACTAAGCCAAATAATGTATAAGGTATCAGTGTAAATTAAAATATGTTAATATAGTGCAGAAATAAGAGTAGCATGTTACTAAAAAGAGGAGATACACTAAGAAGTTTTAAAAGTCTTCATATTCTAATGATAAACAATTATCTACACTTTCAGTTCCTTTCTTCACATTTCAGACAACAGATCTGCTATGCTCCTAAAATTTCTGACAAAATTAAACCTCTCAGTCATTTGCAGTAGAGAATGCCTGTATCACAGAAGTTCCTTCTAACAAACATGATTATTAGAAGCAGGTTAATTCTATTTTATTGTATTAAATCACATATTTTGGCTATAAATTGAGAAAACAAAGTATAAAATTTTTCTTCAGCAGATCAGTAAGTATCTCTACTCTGCAGCTAGTATGGCATATTGATAGGATCTTAAAAGTTTAAATTGCAATAACAAGCAATAAATTAACAGGGATATTACTTCACATAGCAGCTTTCATGGTCTCCAGCTGTGGGACTGATCTACCACCAAAGCAGGCAGGGCTCTTGGCCAGGTTCTGGACTGAACTGTTTTGTATTAGTGAATGAATAAAAAACAACTGGAAATTTATAGAATTCTTTTATTGAAACTCCTCCTCCTTAGGGAAACCTGAGACAAACTGGGATATCACTAAGAGATGGGTTAATGCATGGAGCCAGAAATCTGAAATACAAAGATTTAAAAGTTTTCCTGCAGAAATGCTCTCCAGGAAAAAGGTTTAGCTACAGAGACTTTGGCCCATTGCATCTGAGTCATGTCCTAACTGTAAGCCCACTGAAGGATTTGTCATTATTGACCTATGAATCACAGTGTGCTGAAGAAAACAAGTTTAAAATACCCGCAAAGTCAAACAAATGCAAACATAAAACCTGGGTTTGCTTTGGATGAAGACTCTTGGGTTTGTTGTTCGTACCTGTTTATATGTCCTCTCTGCTACACAGAGCAGAAAAAAGAAAATCCACACTAGAGAGACACGGACCACAAAACTTATAATAACCATTGAGAGAACCAGAATGTCTCCATTTGATCCGAACGCAGTCACACACAGTTCAGTGGCAGAATGTGCAGCTAGCTGTTCCAGATCTTTAGCTTGGGAAAGTCGAAAGACAAATGGCATTAAACCCAAGATTAAAGAGATGACATTTCCAAAAATCTGATAACCAATTCCTGGTATATAGCTGTTCACCTAAAATCAAAAGAAAACAAGGTGTATTATTAATTCTAGAAATAATTTGGAATTAAGCCAATAAATAAATTATTAATGTTACTCTCTTACAATCACAAAGAGCACTTTATAACCCAATAAGTTACATGAAATCTTCAAACAAGCACATTCACAATTTATTATTAAGAAAATGTCAAGGAGCACTTAATGCAGAGGAAGCAGATATGACAAATCATTTAAAAACCCAGCAACATAACACTGCAGTTAAAAGACTCCAGTGCATACTTGTGTATTAAAAATTCACTCAACGTTGAATTAACAAAGTGCACCAACCAGACCACGGAGCAATGTGCAGGATGTGAGCAACTACTTGTGCTTTGCTTTGAGGTTGTATGCTTCTAAAGGAACGCAAGTGTTCACAGTGAGGGCAGAACTGCAGTTCTGTAGTGCTCACTCTAGCTCTGCCAAGTTTACGTCTACAGTGGATTGCACCCAAAATTGCATTGCCTCTGAGTCAGGTACAGAGATGTGAACTAAGCTGGGGAATACATTCTTTAACAAGTTGGAGATGGTAAGTATCAACTTGTCAGAATTACCGATACCTTTCCTAGGTTATGCTAGAATTTTCCGTTCAACTCTACAAAATGCTCACATTCTCTATGTTGAAAAATAGGACACCACCAATCAAATACTTTTCCAACTGTTTCCTGAAGAGGAGGACCAGTGAGATATCCCATCCATCCTCTTAGATATTTGTTTCCTAAGGAGAAGGGCTTTCTTTTCCAATCTTAACTTTAGCATCCAAATGCTGAGATTTATATTCCCAGTCCAACATATTAGTCATTTATCAGAATCAAGGAGATAAATAAGAATATTCACAGCATATCTCACTTTGGAACAATAAACCAGAGGCTGGTTATGTTAATAAGTACCTAACAGTGTAAACAGATTTTATTGTCCCAACACTTAAGATCTGGTGGCTCTTTTACCTGTCTTAACAAGCAAACGTGGGTGATGTAAGCCATAGAACAATAATATCAATAACAGGAATTTTAAACAAACAAGCACAACATAAAGCAAGCTTATTTTTGGTAGCACTTAGGCTCCTAAATACAATATTTGTATAAAGTAAACAGAATACTCACTCTGTTCATTATCATACCACTGATTTCAAGCACAGACATATCTGCTTTCTTGCAATCATTGCCTTCCCACACAATGGCACTGATTTTTTCTAGTCCCGGATTCAAACTGTGGATCCAAGGCAAATGACTCTGGGGAAGACAAGGAATATATTTCATCAGAGGTAAAAATCTATTGTTGTGTCAATCTGCCTTTGTCAGCAGTATGCTGACCAAAAAAAAAAAATGCTTTAGAATGACAGATGTTGCTATATAGCATTTATTTCTACTATATGTTAACCACATCCTTCAAAATCACCTACCTTTTTTTTTCCCAAGGAATAAAAACACTAAAACACTTCAGTATTGTCTTGAGTTATTGTGTCTGAAGATTAATTGGCTGCTTTTTTGCTCAAACATATGAAAGAAGAGAGAGGTATGAAAACAAAGCTGTACTTACAGGGTACAAAAGGTCACCTGACATTATGTCCATCAAACTACTGGATGTGGTCGTGCTGGGGGTGGGGCATAATACTATTTTTAAAATTTATCAAAATAAAGCTTTTTATTCTATTACTTGTTTTATCACCATTTATCTTAAATTTCTGCGTTCTTCTAAGCACTGAATGATCTCCTTTTTTTTTTTCCATATTACAACAACACCACAAGTATTACTCTCAGAACTTCCTTAATCAGAGATTTCCAAGGTCTCCCTCTAGAGGGAGTGTCAACATTAGGAGATTAAGCTCAGAAATTCACAATTTACAATCAAACAGAAAAGCACACAACTGCAGGAAACCAAAGTCAATGCATATACTGCAATTCAACTCCCTGCTGTAAGGCTTCTGTTTTTTTGTTTGTATAGAATGTAAACAAGAAGAATTGAAAATAAATCAAAAAAAGAAATGATAAAATAAATATATCAAAAAAGGAAAGAACTCAATTCCTGTTTGGGTTTTTTGGTGGGAGAGGGAGCGGAAGGGATTTAAAAATTAACATATACATAATTTTCAATTCTGGTTCTGAGTGAAAAGCCTGTCTCTGAAATTCTTTTACCTAGCTAGCATTACCACCATCTCTTGCATGGCATCCCTTAATACTGATAACACACTACCAACACATATGACATGTCTACCCAGAAGAACGTTTCACATTCTCTCCATCTCTTTACTTCAGTGGTTCAAATTTACAAGCAATGTAAAGATAAGACTTGTACTACAAATACAACTGGCGCTGTGACATCTGTATGGATTTTTTTTCAAATGAAGACTAATACTTGATTGTTAATGATCAAGTATTAACAATGGGTTCTGTCCAACATTAACCTAAATGAAAGTGAAGTGGTGGCCAACAAACACAAATTTTCAGAAATTACTGCCTACATTTTGCTACAGAATAGCATTAAAGGAGGAAAGTAAAATTACTAGCTTAAAGGTAAAAATAAAAATACTATATCTAAATAGAATTTAGACATATATAATGTATATATATGATGTTACATATGTATTATGTATACATAACATTAGACACTATGCATATTATCTTTGCTTTTTGTATATGTAGATTTATATATAAGCTAACAAAAATGTCTGAGATGTGCTCACAATAAAGTAATTCCACTAGAGAAAAACAAAAAGCAAATAAACAAAACCAAACAAAATCCACAGTTTCCTAGAACAGATGAAACCTAAATAAATCAATCAGTACTTGTCCTGAACCAGAACCAAGATTCAAATAGTCAGAGATTTTGTAGGCTACTTACTTCAGTATATTGTCATATCCTCTTCATTTGATAAAGCAATGACTGAGTAGCAGAAATAAAAATTTCCTTGTTTTAATCCTGTCAAATCACTCTGGCTTTGTTACTTTCATTTAATATAAAGTTCTTTCTCCCAGGCTCGCTGAGATATGATAAAGCTGATAATACTGAACTTCCATGTACTGTAAAAAAAAAATCAAAACTGGTGGATACCAACCTGATGAAATGGGTCGTCTCTGTATTCTTTCTTCACACATGGATTCACCTGAGGGCTTTCCACGTCCGTCTCACTGGAACAGGAGGAGTGACACTCTGCACAGTGTAAGAGGTCCTCCAGCACATCCTCCGTTTCCGATTCTGGCCTCGCACTCTCAGAATCTTGTCTGGAGCTTGAACACCGAGAACTGCAGCTAGTACCTGATTTAGGTATATCCTGAAATTAAAACATGCCTTGGAATTAATGTAGGGTTTTGCATTGTTTCCTGACAGAACAGTTATAAAAAGTAAATCCGTGTTGATCTGGTTTTTATGTTCCAATCTATTACCTTTCTCATCAGAAAGAATTACATGTTTATTGAAGGCGTGTCTAAGAAGCTGCACATTTTTAGACACAGTACAAAGAAGTAACAGTTCATGGTCCTGCTTTGTTGGGGGAGGTGTGTGTGTCACAACAAAGAATCAAATAATTTTGACTTTTAAGAGGAACTAATTCAGAGATTCTTAGAACTCATCAATTTTTACTTTAACAGCAATTATCAAGCCACAGGCTCCAAATGTCTCAGACATCTGATTTTATAAGCTATAAAGTAAGCCTCCTTTAAAATACAGTTTCATTATTTTAATGAAGATGACAAGAGAGGCTTAAAACATACACTGGTCTGAAATTGTAATAAAGAAATGTGACAGAGTGAGAAAAGCATCATTCACAAAGTATTTTAAATTAATTTGACATTTTGATTTTCTTCCTCTAGTTGTTTGAGCTGAAGTACTTTAGCTACTTATTAACTTCTCCACACAGTAAGGAATTCTCTCTCTAGAAAGGGCAAGGCCCTCACAGAAGAAAGGACAGGTATTTCTAGTCATCCAAGACCTGAGGCACTCAGCCTTTCAGGCATACAGCATGGACACAATTTAACTAGTTTTAAAAGAAAGACTGATATGTTCCAGAAATACATTTCTAAATTTAAGAGCCTGTAATGAAAGAGGAAGTTTCTTTCAGAGTTCCTTACAAACCACATTCCCCCATTGTTACTACTAACATATCTTCTCAAAGACAGAATGAGCTTGTTTGAAGACAATCATCAGGTGTAGAGAGGAAAAATAAGCAAGAGTATACATAACTAATGCTAGGTATGTGTGTAATCTACACAGTTTAAAATAATTAAGATTTTATGTATAACAAGCTGTACTTGAAAAACAAGCATGCCTTATTATGTTCAAATTTTACCTCTATCTTAGATAATGAAAAATATTAAGTTTGGGACATTGAAATCTCCCCACACATACACATGAAACAATCTAGTGTAGTCTTCAGAACAAGAAAGCAGAACTCTGAACTGCCTTCTACAATAAGCAGAATCCATTTCCTGAAAGAAGGTAGGCAGTCTTAAAAGCAGTACTTATCCTGCTCATGGCCACTCTCTGGCAATTTCCATTCCTTCTTAACACAAAATTTACTTCTTTCTACTAGTTTCTCTCCAGAATATACACAATTTTTTACACTAAAAAAAATAATCCAGTGTTTTAGCAGATCTACTAATTTACTATGATTTGTAAAGCATTACTATCTGAAGAAATGTTCTTCCTGAAAACCACACTTAGCGTACTTGATCTACGCAACTTTGTAAAGGACTACTCAAAAAAATTTTGGCCTAAACTCTTTACCT